AAACATGGCAATTGCTATCTTTTTGTGCTGAAGAGTGATCATAAACTATTTCAAAACCAAACATGTTTTTTTTAATATGACAGTAAATGAGTTCCATCCGTCTTTTGTGGTCTAGATTGTAGGGAATTGCACTGTTAACTCAAAAGGCCAAACCTCTGTAACATTTTCAATCTACCAAAGGCTTTGTAGGAGGAAAACAAGTATTTTCCTCCAGTGCAACTTACTGGCTTGAAAATCCACTGGTGGGTCAGCTAGGAAGTGGTTGGGGGGGCACAGCAATGAGTTTGAGGGTTGATTTTTTTTTAACCCTTCTATTAATTAGTAACCTAGAACCACTGAGGGAAAGAGTTACTCTCTTGTTTTCAGAGTTCATTTCTCCTGACCGGTGACAAAGAAGAAGAGCAGCTGGTCTTTCCATGCCCAAGAGCAAGCACCCGTGCACGCACATGCACACACTCCTCTGTCTGTCCATCTGGCATGCATGTAGCTGCCAGCACCCTATTCCTCAAGTTAACAGAGCCCCCTGGACCTCTAACTGGCAGAAAGCTGGGAAGAGTCTGTCTGAGCTCACAGGCTGCCTCCTACCTAGCTCCTATGGGACCGGAGCCCACCCACTTACCTGCGGATAGGTATAGCCCTGCCCCTGAACTGTCACTTTGTCTTAGGGCTGTTGGCTGTGCACAAAGACACCTGAGTTAAGGCAGAACTTTGGGGCGAAAGCCATGAATGAGGTGGCCTATGAACAGAGACTGGAAAAGTGTGCTAAGATTAACTGCAAAAGGGGAAGGGGAAATAAAAAGAAGTCCTTGTTTCAGAGCCTCAAACTACCAGGTTGATCCGTCCTGTGAGGCTTCTGCGTGGTGGAAGGGAAAGATCTGAGCCCTCGCCTCAAATCCTGGCACCCTTTTTGACAGCGGGGTCCTGGGTGTGGCCCAAAATACTCCCTGAGCCTTGGTTTCTTCACCTATACCTCACAGATGAAATGGATCCTAATGTCTACCTCAGAGGACTGAGTCCAAATTAGAAGCTGCCCTTGATTAACAGACTGCCTTTGGTACCGTTATCACTCCTCTGATAGTTTGTACTCAGCCAGGACTATAAGGGAGCTCTGGTGGACAAGTGGAAAAGGAATTATACTGCCAATCCAAAGGCAGGAGGTTTGAATGCACCTGCCGCTTTGAGAGAGAACGATGACAATCTCTCCTCATGTGATTTATAGCTTCTGAAAACTCCTGCAGGGTCAGGTTTTTAGTTACAGGACTATAAGGAGCTCTGGCCATGTAATGTATTATGTGTCACACTCCTAACCAAATAGTTCAGTGGTTCAAATCCACCAGCTGCACCAGGGGAGAAAAATGGCCAGTCACTGAGTCAGAATCAACCCCACTGAAGTGCATTTGGTTATTTGGTTTTAGAGAACTATAGTTTGAGCCACTCCAAATTGGGAAAATTAACCACTCTCATGTGTCTTCATCTCATTTGTAAAAAGGAATGATTGTAGCACATCCCTATGAGATCACTGCTAATAAGAAATGAGCTCACATATGCAAAGTACTTGTTTTGCTATACTGAAGCAAACGGGGTTTGCTATAGGTAAGTCACACATAAATTACTCTAACACTTGTCTTCTACCCTAGAATGTAACTCATTCTTACAAACTGTGTGAAGCATGAGGACACCGTCCAAGGCTTTGGCTGCAATCAAAGAACAAGGTCCTTGTTTGCATGAAGCTTATATTCTAACAGTTGAGGAAGAAAACAGTAATAAGTAGTAATGAGTGCTATGACAGAATAAAGAGTAAAGGGCTATGTGATCAGGAAGTGATCTCCCCTGGCCTGAATAACCATAGAAGAACTGCGGGGGGAAATGTTCTAAGGACAGTCAACAACAAGCACAAAAGCTCTGTGGCAGGAATGACTTTGGCAGGTCTGAGGACCAGAAAGGCCAGTGTGGCAGGAAGACAACTCCAAGGTGAAGCCAGTTTATGGCCTGAAGAGGTGGGAAGGTGGGGGTTGCATGGGCAGTTTGAGGCCAGGGAATGGTTTCCATTTCAGTGTAAGATTAATGGGAAGTCACCTTAGACAGGTGGGGAGAGGGCTTGGTAGTGAGATGAACTAAATATTTTAAATAAACCAAGAGTGACTACCGAGTGGAGATGGGTTTAGAATAGAGGGGAAGGGAGATTATAAGCAAAGAAACAGGCAAGTTAGGAGATAAAGTAACAAGGTTTGGTGACAACACAAAGGTAAACAGAAATAGGTGGATATTAGAAAAAACTTGCAAAAAACAATATTTGAACTGCTTGAGAAGCATAGTCTTTGTTGTCAAAAGCCCAACACCTTAAGGTTCACCATGAGAGGCCTTCACTAGACAAATATTTATAGGATAATTAATAATAACGTAAGCTAACTTTTTTTTTTAGCACTTAGTACAAGCTGGACACGGTTCTTAAACAACCTCATAAGGAAGCACTAGCACTACTGTACCCATTTAACAGATGTGGAAACCATGGCATGGAGAGGTTAACAGCTTCCCAAACATACACAGGGTATAAAGAGCAGCTGCGATACAAACCCAGGCAGTCGGATTCCAGAGCCTGTGCTCCTAACCATCACACAACTTTCTGATGGATAAAATGGTTGCAAGAAGTGGTCAAAGATGCTACATATATTCTAGAAAAGCTGCCATCGAGAC